CTTTTACGTTATGAAGCAAACATCGAGGCCCGTGGAACGATTAAGATTGACGGAGAAGTTATAGAGGGTTGTACAGCTTTGTGGGTCGCTACTTCTAAAGGTCATTTTGATGTTGTGAGACTCTTGATCGAACAAAACGCTGAAGTCGACAGCAGAACATCGAAAAATTCGACTCCGTTGATAGCTGCTGCCTTTATGGGACACCTTGATATTGTACGCTGTTTGGTTGAGAACGGGGCCGATGTAAATGCACGCAATAATTTCAATAGTACTCCTCTGATGATAACATGTCACAGCGGCCACCTGGATGTTGCATCCTATCTTGTCAAACACGGCGCAAACATAAATCTACAAGACAACGATGGAAGCTCGTGTCTTCATTGTGCTTCGGAACGGGGTCATGTTCAGCTAGTTTGTGAGTTGCTCGCTTCAGGAGCAAAGCAAACACAAAATCTTAACCGTTTAACACCACTTCTTGAAGCCAGTAATAATTGTAAAATTGAAATGGTGGAGTGGTTCATCAACCGACCACAATGTTCAAAGGAAGAAAGAATTGATGCTCTTGAGCTTCTTGGAGCCACCATTGCTAATGATCCTCATGCCTACGACATCAAAAGAGCGTTTCGTTTCATGAAGCGAGGAATGGAGGAGAGGTATGAGGATCCGTCATGTCCTTTGCTTAAAAAGAAAATGGAACCAGTGGAGGCTTATCAAAATAGAACAGAGAGTCAAACTCTTGAGGAACTTTCTCTTTTAGAAGGTGATGATCATGCTATCCAGATGGAGGGACTTATGGTGAGAGAGAGAATCCTTGGAACTGATAATACAATACTACGGGACCTGATAGCTAAGCGAGGAGCTGTCCTAGCTGATTTTAAGAGGTACGAACTCAGCGTCGGTTTGTGGACACGAGCAGTGCAGTTAGCTATGAATTACAATGTTCCAAAAACACTGGAGCTTAAATTCCTCACAAATGTAATTGCAGAAATGATGCAGAATGGTCACAGTTTGAGTCCAAAAACTATCGAGAACATTTTTGAAAAACTTATCGATGGAAGAAGGAAACTGACCGAAAACTTGAAGCCTGGAGAATTGGAAGAAGAGCACAAAAGTGAGGTGCAAGAGACATTGCTTTTTCATGCTCTATATCTCTTGGTGATGTACACCAAAGTGCAAGTTTCCTTGGAAATGAAAAATGACAACTTGATTGATCTTCTTCAAAGATTTCTGAGTTTAGAACCTCGCACCCGTGATGGAAATACACTTTTGCACTTGGCTGTATGGCATAAGACTCCTGTTCGTAAGGACGCTTATTTGCGAGGTGTGTGTAAGCTTCCCTGTGTTAAGGCCATGAAGCTAATTTTATATGCGGGGTGTGATGTGAATTCCGTTAATACCCAAGAGAGCACTCCTCTCCATTTAGCCGTTACTTTTGTACCAGGACCTGAACAAGTAGACATTTTGAAAGAAATGCTGGAGTTGTTGTTAGATCTTGGCGCAGATACAAAGCTTGTTAACAAGAATGGTCAAACAGTTATGGACTGCTGCGAGACTGACGAAGCCCGAGGCATCCTGTCTGCAAAAGGAGGACTGGGCACCATGAACATCGAGGCCAAAAAGGTAAGAAAGGTTTCATTTGTAACATCTTATATATTCTCCATAAATTATCACAGTAAACATCCTAATGAAATGGGAGAACTCTTAGTTCATTTCTCCATAGGATCCTGTGTGGATTATGTTTCGTAACGCTTGGTTACCTTTCTTTTACCTTAATTGTCTCCGAACTTATCTTTTTGTGAATAAAAACAATTCATTTTGATGCTCTGATAATCAAAGGAAGCATCAATTCAGTGCGTTGAAAATTGAGTGTCAACACTAAAAATAGATGACCCATCAGACAGTTAAAACGTTTATATGTCAATATGCCCACCTTCCCCCCACCCCAAAAGAAAAAGAAAAGAAAGCAATTTGCCTTTCAAGCAATAGCAAGCCGTTAGATAAAGCTAACAGGCGGGCTTTACCGCGGTCGACTTGTTGATAAAATTAACAGACTTATGATCACCCGTCTGATTTATGTTTGTACAACAAAAACAAAGCAAATTAAATTTAAGTTCAAACAGCAAACCGAGAAGATTTGAAGTAATTATTGGTTGTCGATGAATCGGAAGGAATTGTAAAACAGTAAGAGCGCACTGATCCCTAATTATAATTGGAAACATTTTTGTGGGCCTTTCCTTAATTCTGTAGTGTGACTCACGTTTCATTAAAAGTTTATTTGTATAGTTTTGCGGTCTGGCTTTAGCGTCGGTTGATTTCGTTCGCATTTGTTGTATAATGACTTGTTTACTTATCATACAAGCAGTGAAAATGAATTTGCGTGGAAGACTTACGGAAAAGCGGTCATTAGGAGTGAAATTATCAGAAGGCGTAACTGCCGATGACATCCCTCTACAGCGCATAATATAACTGGCAACTATCATAATAATCCTAAAAGCTCATCAGTCTTTTTGTTGTACATTTGATATCATCTTGAATTGCTTGAAGCTTGAATTTCCAGGGCAATTTGTCAGTATGGAATCATCACATGGGGAGTTCGTGTAAAATAAGGCAAATAATAAGGCAAATCATGTAAAAACGTAATATTTAAGTTCCTGATAAAAATACTGCAAGGCCCATATTTTTTTAATTTCGTTTGGCAGGGAAACTCAGTGTAAATGTACCAAAATGTTTTTATCCCCTCAGTTGCTATGTGTTTTCCATTTTTTTCTAAGAATAAAGTAACTGGAAGTGGATTTCGTGAAGGAAGAGGGGGTACATTGGTTCTTGGAACCCAAAAAGACTTGAATGAGAATATTAAAAGGAAAATGAAGAAGAGATCAGGTAAGAGGATCTTGTGCACTGTAAAATGAAAAGAGCCAAACTGACCCCAAAAGCCAAATTGGCCCCAATTTCTCGAGGGCCAATTTGGCCCATCAAGGTTCGTTTTGGACTATTTGAACCATAACAGGTGGGACAGGTACCATTTCGACCCCTCTAAAATCTGAATTGGCCCCTATGAATTCTACTTTGGAACTTTT